ATATTTGCAGAAATATATGGTCACCTGAAAGAATTTGAAGTGAGCTATTTGGCCATGGATTCTTATACAGTCAGTCCTCTGTATCCACATGAGATTGGTTTCAGGGCCCCATGCAGGTACTGAAATCTCTGTATGCTCAAATCTCATATGAAATTGTGAACAAAATGACCAACAAAGCAAGTGTGAGCTGGACCACACATCACTGAGTCATGAGCAATCCCCTGCAGATCATTCTAGCAACCACAAGGATGATAAAACATCAAAACATCTGGGCGTCTCCAGGCAACATCTTTGCAGACAGCCAATTCTCTCACACCAGAAGAGACTTGCAGTTTCTCAAGTTGCTCCTGACACACACACACACACACACACACACACACACAAGTTCTAGCAACCATGGAGGCAACAAAACAGATGTAGGAACTACAAGGACCATGCAACCATGTCCCTTTCTTTCTCTCAGCAATGCAACTCCAGTATCAAAGAGGAAGAAAGGGGACAGTCAGATCCATAGTTGATTGAATCCATGAGCAGAGAATCTGCAGATTCAGAGGGCTGGCTATACTAGTTTTGAATAACCTGAGAAAGCTATTACATTTGAGAGGCGGCTTCTTGGTTAGGGTCATTCAGAGGCAAAACATGTCAAAACAATCTCTGAGTATTCCTTGCTCTAGAAATCCTGTGAAATTCATAGGGTTGCCATAAGACAACAGATGACTTGAAGGCACACACTCACATCATTGCAGTTCTGTTTGTTTAAATTTGTTTGAACATAACCTTGAGTGAGACTTTGTTTAAGTGCCAGATATTTCTCTGCCTTAACCACATCTCTCTATTTTTTTCTCTTTTGGGTGCCAAACAAACAATTTTAATTCTTCTAATTCCAACTAATTAAATGCTTTCTCTCACCTTATCTAACACAGAGAAATGGTTACAAATCCTTAATTTGTAATCTTCTGTCCACCATCCGATTTTACTTATTTTTTAAAAATTGGAAGTTTAGGTTATCTTGACATGTGTAAAATGTTTACTAGGCTAAAAATATTAAAGTTCTTTTAATCTCTCTAAAGTGATTTAATGAGCATATTCATGTCTGAGGGCCTGAATGAGCATTTGTATTATGTTTTCCCAGAAGAGCACAACATGCACACAAATTTTGTATATAAACCTGCCCTTAGTGAAATTTAATTCTTGAGTCGGACCCATGGGTGAAATCCAGATACCAAAAAGAGATGGTCTGCCAAGGAATAGATTTAGACCAGGGGCTTGCATTGACAAGATAAAGGCAGTCATTACTATTAAATCCTTCACAAATAAAAGCAGTTAATAAATGTGCATATTGTGCAAAGACAGGTTGATTACAATTGTTATGATGATTTTCTGAGAGCATGTTAGTGATTGATCAAAATGGTTTATAATGTTTGTTATAGAATGGCAGTGTTCCCCATGGGTTTTTGCCATTAGAAGTACAGATAGTTACTGTTTTCTCATGTTTCCACCCAAAAACCTCAGTACTGGTATATAGAAAACAACATAATACACAACAGAAAGGCATGAATTCATATTTGAGCGATGGTTGGTAAAACTCTTATTTCTGTGAAAGGCTTTGTGTTAGAGGAGCACCCCTGTTCTTGGTGGATAATTATGCACTTGCATTTTACTAGATGACATAATTTATGTTTGATGAACTAATACTTTAAACCAGGGATGGGAACCAGGTGGACCTCTAGATGTTCATTGAGCCATTGGTGGCGCAGCGGGTTAAAACATTGAGCTGCTAAACTTGGGGATCGAAAGTTCGATGGTTCAAATCCTTGGAGTGGGGTGAGCTCCCGCTTTTAGCCCCAGCTTCTGCCAACCTAGCAGTTCGAAAACATGCAGATGTGTGTAGATCAATAGGTACCTCTTTGGTGGGAAGGTAACTGCACTCCTTGAAGTCATGCTGGCTACATGCCCTAGCAGGTGTAAATGGACAATGTCGGCTCTTTGGCTTAGAAATGGAGATGAGCACCACTCCCCAGAGTCACTTAATGTCTAGACTAGACTTAATGTCAAGGGGAAAACTTTACCTATGGTTCTGACTTTGTTGTCCTAGCCTTTATGAATTTATCAGATTCCCCATTGAACCCATCTAAATAGAGAACATATGGAGAAGTGTGTGTGTGTTGCTGCCCAGATAGAACATATGCATGTGTAATGTATAATGTTAAGCATTGCATTAATCTTATTTCAGCAAATGCCCTTATTTCAACCACACACTGAGACTTTCCTGCCAAAAGGAATATATGCAAATAAAATACTTTCCTACACCCAACTTTCCTTTCAAGCAGCAAGGATAAAAATGCAAGGATTGTTAATTCTTCTGCTTAGGGATATAAAGTTGTATCAACAAACTGTGGCCTAGAGACATTTCAGTGGCTTAGTAGTAGATTTTGCACAATTTGGTTCCTGCTGATGGTTTTATTAGTCCTTCTTAAGCATTCATACTAGACTATCCTGCACGTGCAAGGAAGATGATTTTATGGGCCATTAATTATTTAAAGGATAGCAGATTTTTAAGTTCATAATTCAGTTTTATAGAAGTTTGTTTTAGAATGTAGATGTGGAGAAACCAGCAAAAATATGATCATACAAAAGGAATAAAACTTTATTTTTTGGAGAATCTGCAAAACTGATGAAATATTACTTTCAGTAATACATTTAAGAGGTTTTTCCTAACTTCTTCTAACCTCAAAGAACCATGCACCTTCTGTGATACTGAGTGGATAAAACAAAATACCAGTAGAAGAAACAGCCAGGTATGATCATAATGTAAATTGGAAGAACTTGTCTGTCATGATTACCCATCTCATTTCTTTCGATGGAAGGATTGAGGGTTCTTTGCCCTTTGTCAGCTAATTGTGCCTGTCTGGAAGTCCTTTTTATCACCTTCTGCTTGCCCAGGTATTCAACCTATGACAAATATAAAAATCCAAATGGGCAGAGTCAGCATCAACACACCTCATAAGCATTCTTAAATATTGGAATCTCAGGATATTCGTATGAAAAATGAGAAGGCTTTCCATTAGTCTTTTAGGATATTTCTTATACACAGTTGCAGACACACAAACATACGTACTCTCATAGGAAGAAACAGACATTTCAGTGTCTCTAGACACATCACATTGAAAACATTTCATTGCACATAAAGCTTTTTACATTCATTATGTTACAGTACATGGTAAGGTGTTACATGTTTATAAGGACTGAACACTGGTTATCTTCTACATTTCGTTAATAGTTTCGTCTTTACTTAACAAATAGAGAAACATTATCATCTTATACAATATCATGTATTCATTTATCCATTAAGGAATACAATCTTCTCGTTGAGGAATTATTCATCTATAAACAGGCATCAGTGGCAAACCATACAGGCATTGCTATTTCTAGTAGCATCTGTTATGAGCATAAAGGAAAACATACATATCTACAGGTCCCCATTCATGTTTTAAAAATAGATAGTTTCCTCCTTAGAAATGACACAACACACTGGGTTGCTTTTCATCAGATTAATCAACCATCTGATTGCATGAGAACATCCCTTTACTGTGGCACCTGATTTGGATTCATTATTAGCTTACCATCATTTATGGTTAAGTTGATTTATGTCTAGAACTAGACTTAGTGATACATACATACTGATCTGCCTACTATCAATACTATTGCTTGATACCTTAGATGCTCAAGTGATTAAAATAATAAACAAGAAAGATATCTAACTAGATAGTGATTTACAAAAAGGAATCACTTATTTATTTATTTAAAACATTTATATTCTGCCCTTCTCACCTCAAAAGGGACTCAGAGTGGAGCACAACATATATACTGCTAACATTCAATGCCAGAACATAAATAAACTGTAAACAAACATAAACGCTAAAATCAATTATCCCACGTTAAAATGAACAGTTTCAACCATTCATTTGTCTGCTGTCGAAGGCTTTCATGGCTGGAATCACTGGATTGCTGTGAGTTTTCCGGGATGTATGGCCATGTTCCTGAAGCATTCTCTCCTGACATTTGTCCTACATCTATGACAGACATCCTCAGAGGTGGTGAGGTATATTGGAAACTAGACAGGGGAGGTTTATATATCTTTTGAAGGGCCAGGGTGGGAGAAAGAACTTTTGACTGTCTGTTGGAGGCAAGTGTGAATGTCTCTTCTGACAAATGCTTTAGAAACATTTTCCTGAACTTGGTCAACAAAGGTGCTGTACCACTGATCTAGCCAAATCTATGTTACATCTTGGTATGCCTTCTGGCAAGCTTTTCTGTATATTATAGCTTCTTTTTCATGAAGTTATTCTATATAATATATTCAGCAAGCACCTTCTGTGTTTCTTCTATTGAAGACATTCTCAGCCAGAAGTATCCATCTTCCCTGCTTGAATCGGATAATCTGGGTCTCTGTGTTGGTAACAATTTGGCAACAATGTCAGGAGTTAGTGATAATCATTTCTCTTGGATGAAATCCCTGGCGTATTTGTCAGAGTTCAAACTAGACCAATATTGTGTGATGGATGGGGTTCAGGTCAATCATTTTGAAAATATATCCCATTTATTGTCTAAGATGAGTAAGAGAGAAAGGTATAATGTTTATAAAACTAACCAGATGCAGACAAAAATATGAATAAAGTAATAAAATATTACTTCATCTTGATGGAGACAGCTATGGACACAACCTGGAAAAGATTGCTAATATCCCTTCTCATTCTAAAATAAAAGAAATGGGTGGCATGTTGACAAAATTGTTACATAGAAAAGGTATTTTGGTGGATATCAGTGTCTTGATTGTTTGTTTACTTTTTGGGACAGTTATGTGTCTTTGCATTGTGCACTAGTTTATATGATGGGGAGCTGTTGCTACTGCTTTAGAGAGCTGACCATCACATGAAGTTAATGGCATGGCAGACTCAATTTTGGTGACAGAAACCTACAATGTAATTGTTTCCTTCCAGAGACCACAGTTTTCAATTCCATCACTAAAACAAAACTGGGAAGAATACCGGCTTCAGTGTTTTAAGTATTTCCATGAAACACCGCCTCTTGTGTCAGGTAAGACTCTTCATCCACTGATTCTTTCCCCCAGGCCTTAGTGTGATCTTTTCCTGTGGTGGAGGCTCCTTCTATGGAGGCTTTCAAACAGAGGCTGGATGGCCATCTGTTGGGGGTGCTTTGAACACGGTTGTCCTGCTTCTTGGCAGAGGGTTGGACTGCATGGCCCACGAGGTCTCTTCCAACTCTATGATTCTATGATTCTACATCATCAATCTTGTCTGTTGTATACATAAAGCCCATAATTCATGTTTGGGTTAGATAAGCAATGGTTGGCATAATCTCTTCCCACTCTTAAGGGCAAAATATGGAGTTGAAGGCTTAGATCTTTGTTTTCTCTTGCATTCCCATGTTATGTGTGCACACGTATCCTTGATGCAGTGATCAGTGAATATGGGCTACAGAAGGTTCTGATGGGATGTATCAAGTTTTAGGTGCTTGAAGTATGGTATGTCCCAAAACTAGCTTTTGTACTACCTAAAGGTAATAAGGAAATAAGAGTTACAATGAGCTTTAAACATTAAACACATGATACTGTCAACACATGGTTTCAAGAAGAATGAATGCTTTATTAAATTTAGCAAAAACATACTTGGCAATAGAAAGCATATTAAATGCCTTCAAAAGCTATAAGACTTGACTATGCAGGCTTCTGTCAGTGCCGCTGCAGATGCTACTGTTTCATTTAGCTATAATTTAATATCAAGGGCATGTGGTTGTGTTGGACTATTTTGCATGTGTTTTAAGCCAATTTTGGTAACTTAAAATGATATCACCATCTGAATGAAAGTGCCTAAAGTCTTGTGTTCAGATCACAAACTGATTTTGGTAATCTGCTGCACCATAATATGTTCTGATCCCAATATAATATCTTTTCATTTTTAAAAGCACTCTTTCTCTCAGGATTATACAGTTGCAATAAAGGAGGACACTCATTAATAGCAGCAATAGCAAGAAGGTATTAATCTCCCTTTGCTCTGTTGGACAGCTAATACTGCACTGTTAGGTCATGGTTTAATAAATCTGGCTGAGGCTTTAGTATGTTGAATAATGCTGAATAGTTATCTTTTGTATAGATCTTTCACCTATTCATCAAAGTGTATATATTTCAATTTGAAACAGCATGAACAGATAATTTGCCCTAAATAAAATCATATAGTTTGGAATATGCTTTAAAATTCCACTTATAGGGCTTAAATGTTCATAATTGGAAGGGGAAGGTAATAAACAGAAGACCATTCATGGAGCAGAATTGTTTTGAGACTTACATTGACAAAGACTGTAATATTAGTGCTATTTATTTATTTATTTATTTATTTATTTATGGAGCCCCCGGTGGTGCAGTGGGTTAAACCACTGAGCTGCTAAACTTGTTGACTGAAAGGTCGCAGGTTCAAATCCAGGGAGCGGCGTGAGCTTTGCCGTCAGCCCCAGCTTCTGCCAACCTAGCAGTCTGAAATATGCAAATGTGAGTAGATCTACCACTCTGGCAGGAAGGTAACAGCACTCCATGCAGTCACGACCTTGAAGGTGTGTACAGACAACACCGGTGCTTTGACTTAGAAATGGAGGTGAGCACCAACCCCCAGAGTCGGACATGACTGGACTTAATGTCAGGGGAAAACCTTTACCATTTATTAATTTACTGCATTTCTATAGCACTCTCTCTCACCCCAAGGGGGACTCGGAGTGGTGTACAACATGGCAAAATTTTATGTTGCCCATATACATATAAAAGCAATACTAACATTAACTAAACATATAAATATGAATTAAACTATTAAAACAGGATACATAAAAACATCATCATATAAAACATAGAACATATTAATATTGCACCATTCCCATTGCCATCATTTAGCTGCTTTATTTATGGCTATGTTGTGATAGGTATTATACTGTAATACTATCACTTGCCAAATGCCTGTGTGCATAGCCAAGTTTTAAGTTTTTTTCCTGAAATCCAGGAACACCTCTTTGAAGGCTTTTAAACAGAGGCTAGATGGCCATCTGTTAGGGGTGCTTTGAATGCGATTTTCCTGCTTCTTGGCAGGTGGTTGGACTGGATGGCCTATGAGGTCTCATCCAACTCTATGATCCTATGATTCTAGGGAGGGGCCAATCTAATCTCACTGGGGAGTCAAGGGGCCACCAGCAAGAAGGCCCTGTCTCTCGTCCCTGCCAATCGCACCTGCAAAGGCAGCAGGACCTCCTCAACCGATCTTAACACTTGAACTGGTTCATAATTTATATTCATTTCTTTTTTAAAAATAATACTTGTTGCCTTCTGGACATTGCTATTTGGATTTATGTAAGCTATAAAGCTCAAAGTAATTCTAGTTCGCCAATCAGTTGCGATGTTGTTTAAAGGAAGACGCTCACAAGGGTGTGAATTGTCCTGTTATCATAACTCACAGTTCTAGATAAACTTATTTCTTCCAGAAGCATTCTGATAAATGGTGGGTTTAAAATCTTCCTCTCACATTATGGTATTAAATTCTGTCTAACAAGTTACATTTTCCAGTGCAACTTAGTATTCTTTATTTCTGACATTTGCTCTTAAAATATTCTCTGTCTACAGAGGGCAAATTCTGCAACAGAACATTTGATGATTATGTATGTTGGCCTGATGGTCTGCCTGGCACCTATGTGAATATGAGTTGCCCTTGGTATCTCCCAACACCTAGCTCAGGTACGTAGATTCACTTGCATTAATATTTCCCCCTTCACTAGTGTGTAAAACTGGCTGAAGGTCTTGTTCACATAAGGTACTATGTATATGAATATAGGTTTTGGTTCACATGACACAAACCTTTGTCTATGCAAAAGCTTGTATGTAGTGGGAAAGGTTTTTTAACTATTTTTGTCCCAAGTGTGCAGTCCGATATGGCATAATCAATTGGATACAGATTTGTTGCTACAGTGAATGGGTGTCCTGAGATTGTTTCAAAGTAATTAAATGTTTATAGGCAGTATTATTGACCAGGAAAAAACAACCTGGTGTTGAATATCCTGTCAGACTATCTGCATATTCATATACATAGACAAAATGGCATTGTTTTTATTCAAATGTGGAGATGCAATGTAGCACAGTAGGAATTCAACTCAGAGGTTTTTTTTTAAGTAATCATATTTATTCTGTGTCCTTAGAATGCTCTATTGTTTTCCAATTTAAAGTCCTTAGGTTATAAAGTCGGGGTAGGCATGGTGTCTTATTGCTTGAAATGCTGTACTGCGAGTAACCTTACTTTTGCTTACCTTCTTGTCACAATGCCTCTCTTATTGGTTTATTTATTTATTTACTGCACTTATATCCTGTCCTTCCCACCCCAAAGAGGACTCAGGACAGCTCACAACAAAGGCACAATTCGATGCCATGGATGCATACATAAAATAAAACAACATATACTTTAAAATCACATAATTAAAACATATCAAACTTAAAAACAATTACTTAAAATCACACAATCCAAAAGCATATTCCAGGAGCTATTCCGGTTGTGACTTGCATTATTCATTATTGCACTGAGAGATCTTTATTGCACTGGGGATCATGGTACAAAGATTTGGTCCCACAACCATGTCTTCACTTTCTTCCTGAAGGTCAGGAGGGAGGGGGCTGCTCTAATTTCCCTGGGATAGGAGTTCCATAGCCAGGGGGCACCGCCGAGAAGGTCCTGTCTCTCGTCCCATCAATCATGCCTGCAAGGGGGGGGGGTGGGATTGAGAGCAGGGCCTCCCCAGATGGTATTAACCTCTGAGATGGTTCATAGGGGGAGATAGGTTCTGACAGGTAAGCTGGGCCGGAACAATTTAAAGCTTTATGGGCTAAAGCCAGCACTTTGAATTGATATTAAATGATGTACTGGGCCATGCAGGAAAGTAGTCTCCAGAGTAGCAGAAAACAAGCTTGCCCTTTCTAAAAGTTTAAATGTCTTTTATATGTTTATTGTTGATAGGAACTAATATCCTAAGATAATCTGAAAATTGAATTTACAAGCTCCTTATCTCTTTCTAGATCACTAACAAGCATGCACCTGATTTAAAGCTATTTTAAAATTGCTTACATTAATATGTGAACTTGTTGGCTTCCCAATTAATTGACATAAGAGCCTATCAAACATTCTAGAACTCTTTCCAATAATTCTAATAATCTTTCATCTAATAACCTACATGCAGAATTAAATGCCTTCCCTCCAGTAAGCCTATTTATTTTCCATCTTTAGCACTCTGTGACAGTCATTTGGCTGCTAACAGCACTAAACGCCATCAATGTAGGAGGAAGCCAAGATTTACCATAAGCCTGCACCTTAATAAATTTTCAGAATATGCTGCATCCTTCATGTGCTTTTGCAAATAAGCAAAAACTGAATGATTCTAGGGTGGAGTACAATTTTCACTTGAAATAAATGAACATTTGGATTTCTATAGGGACTGTCATTAAAGGGCTTTGGAAACAACATAAGCTTTATATCCAATATTTATGTGGCTATTGTGTCTCTTCATTTTATTGTCATTGCCCTATAAGATTTAGTAATGAACCATGATAGCTTAGCCTTCTGTATTATAAATGAGCATTGTTAGGGGGTTGTTAGATTTTATTGAAAGCTCTGTTGTATGTATGTAAAAGTGTGGGTGTGTGTGAGTGAGTGAGAGAGAGAGAGACAGAAAGAGACCTGGGTGCATATGAAACCACACACCAATTTGAGTGTAATTTTTCATTGTTTCCAAACACATTGTTGCAGCTATAAAACTATAATACCCATGATTCCATAACATTGAGCCATGTCAGTTAAAATGGTGTCAAACTGCATTAATTTTACAGTGTCGATGCACCCGGACTTGTGTATTCCTGCATAGCAAGGAATTGGGTTAGATCACCTTTGTGGTCCTTTCCATCTCTATAAATTTATGACTTGTGCAGCTCTACTAAAGTCAGTTAATTCAGTTACCTTTTTCTTCTTTCTTAACAGGTTAGTATAGGGTGGAAAAGAATTCAATACATTTTAATCATTTTCATAACAGGTTGAGAAAATAACACCACCTCTGGAAATCTAAAATAAATTTATTTTCCATTTGAATTTTATTTTTGCCTAATTATAAGATCAAACATTTTCTTGCCTGGTCCCAAATTTCTTTCCTTCCTTTCCTTCTAGTGTCCCCAAAATTTTGTGCATGGTGGATTTTCTTATTGAGCATCATCAAGTCATTAAAGTATTTAAATGAAAGAGCACTAGAAGTTTCTACCATTGTGCAAAGTTAGGTTTGGATATTAAAATCACAGCATTTATAAAGTATACTCGATGGATTCCTTGGCCCTAACCCCCCCCCCCCCACCTAAACTTGGAATCATAGTACAACACTATGCTAGTGTAAAAATAGTTGCATGGGTAATTCTTTCTCATGGGAATCTTTTAGCAGAAAGTGTGTATGTGTGAGCATTAGTGTAATTAATCACTTTATAAGCACGCACGCAAACCTCTCCCTCCTTTTTTACTTGATGTGGGGAAATACTTCATTGACTGTCCTATAGTTTGTGAGCTCATAGTAACTATGCTGACATTTCTTTATGCTGTGCTTAAGTCTATAAGATCTTGGTCTTGATCTTCCACTTTGGTTAATGTGTGCAAATTCTCTTTTCTGTACATTTGTGGAAAATATTTGAGACTTTTGTAGAGCTGGCAGCCTTGGTTGAGAATCAATGACTCTCAGGTTTTCAGAAACCTCTGAATAATATTCGCCCCCCACAAGATCCAACCAGTCCATACTTCATGAAATAAAGCCCGAATGCTCATTGGAGAGAAGGATATTAGAGGCAAAGATAAAGTATTTCGACCACATAATAATAACACAGGAAAGCTTAGAGGAGACAATTATGCTGGGGAAAATGGAAGGAAAAAGGAAGAGGGGGCGACCAAGGGCAAGATGGAAGGATGGCATCCTTGAAGTGACTGGATTGACCTTGAAGGAGCTGGGGGTGGTGATGGCTGACAGGGAGCTCTGGTGTGGGCTGTTTCATGAGGCCAGGAAGAGTCAGAAGCAACTGAACGAGTCAACAACACACAAAATGCTACTCTGCTATTTCATACTGAGGTGTGGGTATGAACCTGACTTCATGAAGACCACATCAATAGAGCGTAATGTCTGCAGGTTCTGCCAATCTGCTTCTATTGTGTGTTTGCTGGTGAGCGACTAGAGATTTCATCAGACCGTCTCTGGGCTCCATTTCCATGCCGGCCAATAGATCATGTAAGGATATTTCTAGTGGGACTCCATGGGGCTCAGTTTCTTCCGCACATGAGAATAGAATCCAAAGACTGTTTTCAGAAGTTGGGTGTTACCTGACTCCTGAATGAAGAATGTGGGAGAATGCAAAGATGGAGTAAGAGGCAAGACAAACATGGGATGGCTGGTCATCCCACAAGATGGGGAAAGACAGGCAGGGATGGGATAACACGGTTTCTTATACGTTCCCCCATTTTCCACTTCTAAATGTGATGAGGTCCCATATAATTTGTGATCAAAGGGCACCCACTTAATCATGGACTTCACTATGCAGGTGAAGGATAGCAATAATCAGTAGTATGTTCATGTCAGTCAACCGATCAGTAACACAAAATGCAAAGAAAAGCAAAATCAAGAAAATCATTTTTTTAAAACCCTAGAGCAACAAGCTTAAGCACAGACATCCATAAACACATCTGAGATTTATTAGTAACCATTACCATTTTATCACCTAAGCAATAAGGATGTTAATTCCCTTCAAATGTAATAAAAAAACCTAGAAATCATCTCAGAAGTGGATAGAGCATATCAGTTGTGACTGAGGACTTATGTGAGTTGTTGTCTAATATACTTGGAGGGCACTCAGTTTCAGGGGACTGGATTATCAATGTTCTCTAAACTCCCTGATGAAAACTGTAATAAAAAACTGAATGACTCTGTGGAGGAGCTTTAAAAATGTCTGTTGCATGCACCGGTTTTCACTGCCCATGAAAAAAAAATACACTGATGTTAAATGTAGTTAGCTGTCACTAATTAGAGCTTATCATGAGTGTGGACAGCTGTATTCTCCCCTTTTAAGACAGCATATCAAAATGCATGTAGTTGTTACTGACAGTCAATGTAATGAGCCTTGACATCTGGTGGCTGGAGGAGAGCGCACTTTCCATTGGAGTGGTGAGTGCTATCCTTAGAGGGTTTTACAATGCAGGGATTGGTCTCATTTGCAGCATCTATATTCATGTTGGCTATGAATTGGAACATCCATGTGCTCTCCCTGGAACCCCAAATTTTGTTCTGCCTTGATCTGTTTTACACAGATAGAAAGTTTAGATTGCTCACGCCAGCTTTTTTGGCAAATGAGCAAAATCCAGCTTGGCAGTGTCATTGTGAACCAAGGGCAATGAGATAAAATAAATGAAAAAATATTTTCCAATCTTGCAGACATGTAAGAGGAGCATTTTACTCCTGATGTTTTTGGTTGTTTAGTTTAGCACCTCTCTTAACCTTAAACAAACAGCTGCCTGGCTCCTCTTGGCCCTATTTTTCAAAATGAGGATTTGTAGTATCAAGGCTTTTAATGCCATAGCTAAGTATATAGTCTGAGATTGTCACAATCAAGAATAGCTTTGTTATTGTTCCTTCTTACTTGGAGTAAGTGAGAGCAACATGTTGAAATTATACTCAGGA